CTTCCTCACACACAGCTGCACTCTAGCACAGTGGTTCCCAACCTTCCTAATGCTGTGACCCTTTAACATAGTTCTTCATGTGGTGGTGACCCTTGCCCCCCAACCATAAAACTATTTCATTGCTACTGCATAACTGTAACTTTGCTACTGTTATGAATTGTCATGTAAATATCTGTGTTTTCCGGTGGTCTTGGGAGACTCCTGTGAGAAGGTTGTTTGACCTGAGAGGTCGTGACCCACAAGTTGAGAACCACTGCTCATGGGAGCAGCAACACTCTAGCCTTTGGGCAGAATCACATACAGGTGGAAGGGGTGTAGGCAGGTGCTAGAATCTCACAGGAGGATCCAATGCCCCCCCCACACACACACACACACCCTCCTTTGATGAGGGAAGGTCAGCACCGATCCCAAGGTCACTTGTGAATAGTCGCTGTGTCTTTTGATGATGATGGCTATCATAACTTCTCATCCCTGAGGACAGCACCGAGAGCCGGGACATGCACCAGGCCCTGCAGGACTTCCTGTGCGCCCAGCAGGTGCAGGCCCCTGTGAGGCTCTTCTCTGACTGGCTCTTCGTGGGTCACATCGATGAGTTCTTGAGTTTCGTCCCAGCACCGGACAGGCAGGTGGGAAGCTCTTCTGTCCTGGTTTCTAAGCCAGCTCTCCTTCTCTGTGGGGACTGGAAGGTGATAGAGGGTGCCATCCCATCCCCCATCCTGGGAACCCCAGGTAGTAGGCAAAGCTGCCTTCCGACTCCAGTGTTTCCCAGCAGGGCTTTCGGCTGCTGATGTCCAGCCCCAGAGCCTGCTACCAGCTACTTCAGGAGCAGCAGAGTCAGGGCTACGGCGAGGCACCACTTTTCGATGGGATCAAGAGTAAGTTGATGTGGCTGTCTATAGTCTCTACCACTCCATGCATGAGATCCTGTGGGTTAAAAGAAATGTGTGTACCTGCTGTGTGAGGGGTCCCTCTGCCACTTAGCCCCCAAGCTCCCTATGCTTAGAACTTGGCTTGGCTCCCAAGCTCCCAGTGAGCTACTAAGACGACAAAGGTATTTTGGGGCTGCCTAAGTGGGTCCAGCTCAGGGAAGGCTTCCTGGAAGTGGCAGGGCATGAACAGGGAGGGGTTAGCAGGATGGAAGGGGCTGTGAGGGGACCGAAAGGGAAAGTTGCAGACAGGGAACTGAGAAGGCTCAGTGGCAACAGAGAGAAAGAGTTGAGAGAAGTCCGTGGGATGGAATATTTTCAGTAAATTCACCAGGCAGGGTCAGAGGCTATGGATCCTCTGAGACTCAAGAGTTTTTTCTAAATATGTTTGAGTGTGTTAGACAGAGTCGAGCAAACCAGCCCCACCCTCTCTGCTTGCTTGCTTGCTTTCCTTTCCATGCCGCTCTGTGTTGCTGGGAAGGAAACTCAGGGCCTCACACACACCAGTGGGTATGAGTTCTGTCACTGACATCCACCCTGTCTCCCCCTTTCCTAAAAGCATCTGGATCATGTAGTCAGACTTTGTCTGTCCTGCCTGCCAGCTCCCAAATAACCACAAGGTGTTACGAGCATTGTTTCCCACCAGGCTGGTCCCAGAGCTGCATCAGTCCCAAATGAACACATAAATATTACATTAATTATAATACTGTTGGCCATTGGCTTGAGCTTCTTATTGGCTAGCTCTGTCTTAATTACTAACCCAATTTCTATTAATCTATGTATTTCCACATGGTCTTATCTTACTAAAGAGTCCTGACCTATTACTCCTCTAGAGTCCTACATGGAGATTGACTCTGCCTACGTTTCCCAGAATCCTCCTTGTCTCCTAGTCCCACCAATCATCCTGCCTCATTGGCCACAGTGCTTTATTCATCAACCAATAAGAGAAACATATGTACAGAAGACATCCCCATCAACACGGACACTTCTTATTAATTATAAACGCTCAACAGTAGCTTAGGCTTGTTTCTAACTAGCTCTTATAACTTAAATCAACCCATACTTTTACTAACCTACATTCTACCATGTGACTTTTACCTCCATCCTATTTTGTGTGTCCAGCTCGTTCCGAGTCTGGCTGGCTTTTTCTCCCTTCTTCCCAGCATTCTCTTTGCCCCGAAAACCCTGCCTAGCCATTGGCTAGTCAGCTTTTTATTAAACCGGTCACAGTGACATATCTTCACACAGTGTAAAGGAATATTCCACAACAGGATCTGGGGCTGGGGGCGTAGCTCAAATGGTAGAGTTATTGCTAAGCTTCATCATTCTATCCTTAGCACCAGTAAACCGGATATGGTAGTGCACAGCTATCATCCCAGCACTTAAGAGGCTGAGGACCAGTTCAGGGTCACCCTTGGCTACATGGCAAATTTGAGGCTATCCTGGGCTACATGAGGCTACCTGAAAAGTAAATATGAGAACTGAAGAGATGGCTCAGCAGTTAAGAGCACTTGTTACTCTTCCAGAAGACTTGAGTTTGGTTCTCAGAGCTTACATGATGGCTCCCAATTACCTGTAACTCCCATTCCAGGGGATCTGACGCCCTCTTCTGGCCTACTCGGACACTATGCACATTTTTTTAAAAAATTACAAATAACAAATATAAGTAGGCTCTGAGACCAAGGGTTGAAGCTTCAGAACTGGAAAAGCGCAGACCACCGGAGCTCTGCTCATTTCTCCAGTTCTGATGGATCCACCCCTGAGCCAGGGATCCAATCACACTTCGTTGCTCCCATGCAGACCTTAGGCCCCACCTAAACAGCCTTCCTCAAGCAGCTCCCCCGGTGGCCAATGCCACCTTCTGGGGACACTGACACAGCAGCCTCTTGTATTGGTGCTGGGGCCACCACAGTTGGTGTGGCTGGATCCAGGGCTGGCACTGGAGTGGAGTTTGTCAGCTTGCTTGGTTGACTGCCAGGATCCAGTCTCTCAAGCAGCAGTTTGTCTTCTGTGCCCTTTGGGCTTTGCCCTGTCTGTGTCATATGCCATTCAATGGGGTCACCCAGCCATCCTTGCTGCTTTGACTCTGTGCCAATCCTGTTGCTGGAGTGTGCTACAATTTACCATCGAAGACAACATTTCTGGAACCCCTCCTCCAAGACAAACAGGATCCCCTTGGAGATGGGTGCATCTTGATTCAGAACATCCCCACTAAAGAGATGGCAAACCTGGGCTCAGCGCCTCCCCTCACTGGAGGGTAGCCTGCCTCCTAAATTGGGTCCACTTCTCTTTCTCTCTCCTCCATGACAGGAAAAAAACAGCAGACGATCAATGACATTTTGTCCAACAAGAAATTAAGAGACCAGAATGCCTATGTGGAGGTATTCAACCCAGCTGTCCTGGAGATGGTACAATGGGTGCCTGGCTATCTGTCTGTGATTAGATGCAAGGGGTTGGGTTGGGTGGGGTGGAGTGGAGCCTTTCAGGGCTGCTCACTATAAACTGACTTGGTTGCCAGCCCAGGGTCTGAAGCCCAGAAACAGGCAGAGAACAATAGGGGGAGTATGTAAGGCCTCTGGGAGCCAGAACCCTGATTCTTACCCATTCCTATTGTTCCACACTTTCTCCCCCCCCCCCCAATGTATCCCCTTGGTATCCCCACCAGAGCTGTATTGACTGGAACCGGGCGGTACTGAAGCGGGAGCTGGGCCTGACAGAGGGTGACATCATTGATATCCCTCAGCTCTTCAAGCTTGTGGGGAACTCCAGAGGGAACCCGAAGGCTGAGGCCTTCTTCCCCAACATGGTAAGGAGGTGACAGCCACCATCCAACTTCATCTCACTCAAATGACTTAAATGTCAGCGTGCAACCAGGAGAGGCCTAAGGCAGGCACAGGTGGCTTTTCCTTCACCCTTTGAGGCTCACATGACCCTCATGACACCAAGGGCCTCGTCTAAGCCTTGCAGCAATGTCACGAGTGAGTTCTCTCACTGCCTTGCTTTCCAGAGGCAGATCAGAGAGGTTAGGTCACTGGTTCAAAAACACACAGCAGGTAAGAGATGGCAGCTCTACCTACCACTGCTGCCTCCAGGCTTCCATCTAGGGGTCAGGGACTGGCAGATGTGGGCCATAGACAAAGTGTTCTGGGGTAGCAGTCATTGACAGGAAGGAAGCCTATGTGGCTGACCTCTGAGGGAGGATGTGATCACAACCCCTTCTTTGGGGTGGGGGCAGATTTGACCTTTCAGAGCATGGACACCTTTGTTACTGTGACCCCAAGTGTGTCTTCCCACCTCCCACTGAGTTTTTACCAGACTTCTCCAAAGAAAGCCCAAGGGCCAGGTGGAGACCTACCCAGCTGTCTGGCCAGGAGCTACAGTTCCAGAAGGAGCCAGACATGTTTATCAGCAGAGTCACTTTCAAACTGAGCTCCTCAGGGCTCTGGGGTTCCCAGGCAGAGGCTCAAGTCTGGCTACTGAGATATCTCTTCCACATGTCAAGCTGCTGCCAAAGACTCCATTTAGTAGGCGACTCTGTCCCATCTCTCCCTGAGGCCCAGGCATTGCAGTAGTTCACCGCAGTCCAGCTTCTCAGTGAGCTTAAACAGCACGTGACTTTTTATCAATAGCAGGCTTGTTACAAGAAGAAAACACAGGGGGCGGGGGAGTGGAGAGATGGCTGGTTCATAGGTTAAGATCGCTCACTGGCTGCCCTTCCAGAGGACCTGGGTTCAATTCCCAGCACCCACCTGGCAGTTCACAGCTGCCTGTAACTCCAGCTTCAGGGGATCCAACACCCTCACACAGGCATACATGTAGGCAAAACACCAATGCTTATAGAATAAAAATAAAGTTAAAATAACTTTAAAAGCACAGGACTAGTCCACTAGGCCTGTGGGTCCTACACTAGCTGCTGTCTCCTCTGATCTGGGCCCCCACTTTCCCACAGGTGAACATGCTGGTGCTGGGCAAGTACCTGGGCATCCCTAAGCCCTTCGGCCCTATCATCAATGGCCACTGCTGCCTGGAGAAGAAGGTGCGCTCCCTGCTGGAGCCACTGGGTCTGCACTGCACCTTCATCGATGACTTCTATGCCTACCACATGTACCACGGAGAGGTTCACTGTGGCACCAACGTTCGTAGGAAGCCCTTCACCTTCAAGTGGTGGCACATGGTGCTCTGAGCCACCGCCTCTGGCAGCCTCCCTCAAAGATTTTCCTGG